CCCCCTCCCCGCCCCGCCCCTTCCCCGCCTGTTTTTTGGACAGGATGGGCGCTGTACCCCAGAACAAGCCCAACAACATCATCTCTGTATCATCTGCGTACCATGTTTACGTGTCGAGTTACCGTTGTGAGCAGCGCTCAGCTAGACTTTGTGTTGAAAGTACGAGCAATTAGGCTGCTCGTACATAGGCAGTGATAACACTTGAATTTTAGGAACGCCCACGGCTTTTAAGATCGTGGGTGTGATGTCAACTCCCGCCCCGTATGCCGTTATTGCTGTTCTTTTAACTCTATTTATGACCACAAACATAAACGAGATCAAAACTGAAGCTTTGATGTTGGAGAGGAGGGTGAAGTGAGAAGAAACCCCAATTCGTTGCCAGGAGTGCCAGAGCAGGTTTGAAGGCGTTACGCACCAAACTTGGGCCATGCCATGCAGACTGCCCTGCCACGCCGACAGGAGCCTGGGGTTTTGTATTCAAAAAATTTGTTTGCTGCTTTCTCACTGAAGTTTCTGACAGAAAAAAATCTCAAATCGGAGCCTGGGCAAGGAGAGGGGATGTGGAGCTGGTGCCTCTGCCTCAATGTGTTGCACGGCCTGACTTTTCTTTCAAGTTGTAAGGGTCTGGTTTTACCCTTTTAATTTCAGGTTTTCCAGGTAGCATGTACTTACATGCTTCTGCCCCCCCCCTAAAAAAAAAAAAAAACCCAAACGATGAAATGTGTCCATTTGCTCTCAGAATATTTTTTTTTAAAAAAATTTTGAAAATTCTTGCCTTTAAACCATTTATATTCAAATGGTGAGTAGGGGCCTGAACCATTTTTGAAACATTGATTTGCAGGGGGAGATGAGGGCAGATTCTTAAGGTTGTGGGAGCTGTGCATCTCATTGCCTCTCCTCTGGGAGGGGAGCTTGCCGTACATCCATGGCTGGTGCTAACAGGAGAGCTGTTTTGCCATCCAAGTGAGCCCCACCTCTGAGATGCAATCGTAAGGATATACCTAGACTTCACATTGCAGCATAGAGACATTCCAGTCAGTTTTGAGCAACCTTGAGTAACGGCTGCAAAGCATCTGTGATAAATCAGCCCACAGGTTGCTTAGCAGATCAAGCTAACTCCTGAGAAGCGGCCATACTGCCTCCTCTTGGTATGATGTATTCTGTTGAAGTCTAACAGACGCTTATTTTAAGCTGCTTTGAAAAATATCAGTGGAATTTGGTGTCCAGCAACTGAGCTGGCAAAATTTGGCATCAGAACCGAGCCAGATCAAAAATGTCCCCTGTGAAAGGTTTAACGGTAATGTTTCCTGCAGAGGAAGGATTTGCTTGCATTGGCGTTACTGGAGCTCAGACACGCTTATCTGCAAGTGATTTGATGGCACTATCTGCATAGAAAGCATAAACTAATCAGACTTCAGAGTGTAGAGAACTGGGAAGAATTTAGGGTAAAATGCTGGGCTTCCTGAATAGTTGATGTGTTGTTTAAACACTATCACAATGATGATATTTTATAGACCTATCTTTAAAGTAGTTGTGGTACACAATTACAGGAACTCTGACTGTTAAAGCACAAGTTATTTCAGTAAAATCGGGGGAGATCTGTTTGAAAAATAGCCTGCAATGTGCATATCACATGCTGGCAAGAGAACTGTTATTTCAGTAAATTGTGTCATGATTTCTTAGTAGCTGTTACACACTCAGTGTATTGCTTTTTTGTATTCTGAGGTCATAAGTGAGGTGTTGAATTCCTCCTGTTTGTTGATTATCTATCTCATTGCATTCAGGAAAAGTCTGGCGAACCATATCTAGAAGAAAGTGCATTTGAAACAGTGGAAGAAGACTTCCAAGAAGTCATCAATCTACTGAAGGGAGATAAAACTCTGGAAAAATTCCGAATAGAATATGAGAAGCTCCATGCTGTTGTGAAGCAGTCTCATGAAAATGAAAAGCGTCTCACGGAGAAATGCACGAAGCTGGCTGCTGATCTTTTGGTGACCTCATCTAAAGTAGCTGCGCTCACAAAGCTCAGTAAAGATGATGAGGAAACTATATCATCAATGAAGAAGGTAAAGTTTTGAATGGAATTAAATATGATCTGAAATTATTAATGAAAATCATAGTAATAAGAAAAGCGTCTACAAGAACACTTTATTTCATGTAGAGAACTAGCTGGAGGACTAAGTGTAGAGCTGGCATCTCCAGTTCATTCTTTAACCTCTGCTTTGCTACCAATCCCTTTGTTTCCTCAGCCTGGAATTTTATAGGTTCCAGTCAAATTCTGTGTTTATTTGCACTAAACCAACCCCACCAGCTTTCACATAGTCGCCAATACTTTTTGTTTAAGCTTTTCCTCTGTAAAATAGCATGTTTTCAACTTAATATACAGTTTTTGATTAATTAATATTTTTGAAGGGCTGCTTGGATGTTAACTATTGCCAGGACATAAAAAAGGCTACTTACTTACTGAAGTATGGATTGTAGACCAAGGAAGTGTCATCAACTCATATAAATAAATGTTTCATGCTGTTTTTGAAAAGGAATCTTCTGCAGCATTTCAATGTGATTTTACCAATTTACTCTGATGTGTTCTTTGTTATTATTGATTTGAACTCTGTCAAATCAAAGTGCTCGACTCGCTAAAAGCAGTTGATGTATTTAGCCTTACAGTGAGGTTTGAATACGAGAAACCTAAAGCTGCCAAATGATCAGAATATTGTGTTTTGAACTTTTTTCCTTCTGATGGTTTAAAAACTTAGGCTGTGGTACCTAGACAGGCTTTAATTTAGCTTTTAGTTGAGAAACCTCCATGCCTTCCAATAAAGTGTTTTGTTCCAGTAAAATAAATTCAGTGTAACAATCCAGAGTCATCTATGAGCCCTACAGAAATAGAAATTTTTGAAATGAAGTTTCTTGTCCTTAGAATTATGGAGAAATTACACTCAGAGTAAATAGAAGTAGCAGTGCTGTCATCCTATGGGCAGCTTGCAAGCCCATGCTCAAAGCATCCTCAAGGAGGAGGAAAACTGTGTAAAAACCTTGTTGATTTTCACTGCTGCTGATCAAAACCTGGCAGGTCAGTGTCAGGAACTGCAATGATGCTTATAATTTTCTTTCTACAATTACAGCAGTACTCCGAGTGTGAACAGTAGCAGAGGCAATCCAAGATGTTCCCAAGCTGAGGAGATGCTATTGTCAGTAATGTTGTAGAACAGGAGTGGAAGAGTAGGAAAAATAAGAGCCTTTTTAATTTCAGCAGCTAATTTGAAGCTCAGACAAGGTCTGGCTTAACAATACCACCTACTATTGAACCAGCCAAGAGATTTTGTAGTGAAAAAGGTGCTCGACAATATGATCCTATTAGAAATCACGTGCAACGCACATGTGACATTTCCATTCTAGTGGCGTGCTCTGGGCCAAGTAAACTGCACTGAATCTTTTCCAGTTTGGTTGTGAGAATTAGTCTTTCCCTTAAATGTGCAGGAATTATTTGGATGTTGTTTAAAATGTTCATGCCGTGTTTTGGGGTTTTGTTGGTGTACTCTTCATATTTCACTTTTTTCTCCTTTCTGAAGGGAAGTTCCTTTTCAGCTGTAGTATTTCACTATAATTTTACTAACATTCAAAAAATGCATTTTACAAGTGCCCAAGGCAAGTGCTGAGGAAAGTTCAAGGGCTAAAATAGCGAAGATGATATTCTTCAGTGCTAAATTAAACAAACAATCTGTTCCACTGTTTCACTGTTTATAAAATATAGGACAATCCTGGTGGGGCTGTTCCTGTGAAAATGATATAATTGCTTCAAATTAAGGCCCTAAATCTTAGTGACTTGATGGGTTGTCAGGGTAACAAGTGTGCAGCCTTCCTCTTCTAGGTCATTGTTTCATATACAAATAAAAGTTGAGAAACAAAATTTTTTCTTCATGTGAAGCCTGGCTGTAATCAGTAGGGTTCCTTTAGGGGCAGGGGTTAACTACACAGATCAGTGACTGATAGGACCCAGGTCAATAATAATCAGTAGCTGTTAACTGCATGATGGTTTTCACTGCTCTGTTTTGTAGTTTTAATAAACTGGACATAATGGTTTACTGTTTACAGCCATATCAAAGGAGCAAAGGGCCAAGCGGAACACGAAGGGAATACAATTCTCTTTTTCATTGATAGGGATACTGATCCACAAGGCCTCTGGAAGAATGCTAGAAGGGGAATTTATAGGAGCTTGTGCTGCCCTGCTTGGAATTACCAAATTTTCCATTTCCAGGGGTATTAATCCAATACACTAAGAAAGCATTTCTGTAATTCTCAGTTTCTGAGCAGTGAAACTGATGTGATCTTTTGGGGTATGTAATGAAAATAAAGTGAGGCAGTCATGCTTTCTGAATTCTGCTTCACAGTTTCCAGAGTTCCAGTACTTCTCCAAAAATTTTTGAATGATTCTAACTGCAAATATCCAGTGTACTTCTGTCTTTAATTATACAACACACTGCAATGCATGTTACCTACCTAATCATGCACTGCAATTACCCAGTGATGCTGATACATCTTGCTTTCACATCACATTCTTTTAGTTCCCTCTCCACTGAGTAATAAGGTGAATATTTTCTCAGTGAAGGCTTCCACCACCAAAAATTTCCTCCTCTTTACTTTTGAAGTTAAAGGAAGCAATTTGTTGATCCGCTATTCAAAGTCAAAGACGCAAATGAGAAACAATTACAATGAAGCCTGGTTTTCCTGATGCTGAAGTCTGTAGCAAATTTACTTAGATTTTGCTTATTAATGGGGCTATCATCTGTGCCTGCTAACTTTATTGATAAAAATTAGTTTTAGCAATACAAATTCAATACAATTGTTTTTACACATCAAAAGCAAGATAAAGTTCAAAAAGCAGAGCTTAGGGTGACCCAAAGTCACTAATTATCTGAATGACCTCACTAACTTCAGGGGCTAATCTTTGTGAATACTCACCAGAACAAAATACTCACTGAAGCCAGTAAGACCTCTCAGAGGGCATATTGATTTTATTCACCACTTCTATCCCCCAAAATTCCAATTGTAATGATTTAATTCACCACTTTTAATCACAGTCTAATCAGCCAGCAGGAAGCATTGATTCAAGTAATCAGCTTTAATCTTATTTGCCATTTGCATTTTTCTAGAGAGAGGTTGGTTGCCTCTTACTGGTTCGCAAATCTGAAGCGTGTTTATTTACAGCTATATTTTGTGCTTTTCTGCTAGTCAAGATGATACACTATGTCTTCATGCCCTTATTTCAGCCTAGTGTGGATTTATTTACATTTCATAATTGAACATTTTTATGTAAGATAATAATGAGTGAAAAATTTGTTATTGACTAGATGATACTTTATGTGTGATCTTTGCTGCATTTGAATGGAAGTTAGAACTCAAAATGTAAAAATGTTAAATTGACTTTAAAACAGTTTCAATATTCTTGATACGTAAGTGAAAAGCACATTTTTCAAACTAGATTTTAAGCTACGTAATTTATTAGGTAGTGAAAATACTGTTTCTAGGTAGTGAATTTAATTGATTATAATCTCCTTCAGAATTTCTGAACAAGTAAAGCCCACCATTTAACTCTTCATTAATAGGTTGGGGGGAAAAAAAAAAGAAGAGCAAACGTTCGTGATCTTGAAGTTCCAGATGGTTTCTTGAATTTGGATATGATGAACTAGTTGAATAAATAAAATGAAAATGTATTCCCTCTCCAATTTGAAGAGGCTACAGATGTTACATTTTGTGTCATCTTTTCAGCAAATTCTGGTAGCCTTCTGCTGGTTCAATAGCTCGAGTTTTTTAAACATTTCAATAAATATATTAATATTATACCGTAATATAAGTGTCATCATTTTGAGTTTAATGTTAAACAGTTTTTTTTTTAGAACTAGAGATGTTAATTTCAATGAAGAACTGCTGTAAATAAATTTATATAAATTATTTTATATTCTTCATTGTGCAGGTGTTTTAAATTTTTTTTTTTTCCTTGCCTCACTTTCGTATGATACTAGTAGGAGTTGAAAGGGATATTATGGCCTGATGTAATGATGCTCCTACCTGGCTCTGCTTGGGGACACCCTAGAGCTAATGTGGACCTGCACAGCCACACCTGGAGTCTAACTCTGTACAAGTTCATCAAGTCCAGAACTCCACCAGGAGCCATCTGAGAGAAGGGCATGAGAGGGAGGACATCATGCTGTGATTTGCAGCTCAGGGACTTCTAGTGTCAGAAGTAGTGTCTTCATTATTTACTCAGTCCTTGGGAACTTTTCTTCCAGACCAGTCGCTTTCTGAATTCATGAATATTTATTAGCACAAGATTCCAGAACTGGTAGGAGCTTGGTTTGAACCTGGCAAGGAATAAGCCTGCTGTGTGATTCCTAAGGATCTGATTCAAGGGAGAGAGATGCAGAGGAAGTTAAAAAATGAAGTGAACCCTCCTACCCTATTCTGCTTGTGGATATCAGACCCTGGGCTTGTGAGAGGCACATGAGTCTGTCGTCCAAGTAATTCCACGTGCTGAAATTTGACATGAGAATTGTGGCTTGTCTAAATATATAGTTAAAATCAAAATACACTAGATCCCCAGGGATAAAAATGAACAAAGACGGAGAAAAGCGCAGAGTAACATCTTTTTTTTGCGTCCAAATCAAATTGAATGTTCATTGTCATAACAGCTAATAAGATTATTACAGACATAAGTGTGCAATTTTACATAGATGGTACCTTTGTGGGCACTGAATTTTCAGTAAATTTTTAGATATTACTGGGACTCAGACGACCAAAACCTCATAGAGTGAGATTAGATAATGTTCAGATCTTTGTGTTAAAGAAAATGTGTTTGAGCTTTTGTGGTGTAAATTGACCTAGCCTGAGTGGCTAAAAATGTTTGCTATGACCCTCGTCCAAAAGAAAAGACAACTGGTGAAGAAAACTGTTGTGAATCTAAGCATGAAAAGGCATGAATATCTATTTTCTTAATTAACCAAAATGCAAGGCAATTAATTTTTAATTTGTTGTTCATTTTTAGCCCAATTTAATTTATGTAATTGTTTTCCATTTTGTTGCTAGGAGCTTGAAAAGGCCTGGAAAATGGTGGATACAGCCTATGAAAAGGAACAGAAAGTGAAGCAAACGATTAATTCACTGCAAGAGGAAATTACACGCCTAAATAATTTAGGATCTGGATTGTCCCCGGGACAGGAATACAGGTAAGTTTTCCTCAGGGAGAGGGAAAGCCTGACCTAATTTCCTATCATTGTACACTTTGTTTAGCCATTTAGACACTACAAAGACACTGGAAGACAGAAAGAGAGGTCTTTTCTGCCTTTTACTTTTCTCATGAATGCATGTTTATTGGTCTATGTGTTTATGCAGTGAGCAAGTATAGAATCAGGCTCTGAGTGAGTTCATTCAGCATTGGATTAAGCTGAGACATCAAATAAAAATCAATATTATGCACTTTCTCAGTATCTGTCATATTGTTTTATCTGACTAGCATTTCAACATACTCAGTCTTTGAAAATAGGATCCCGTCAACATTTTTACGTGTGATGGCAGCAGGGTCAAGTAGATAAGCCAAGGAGGCAGAAAACTCGATTTCTCTTCTGTTCCAGCTTTGTTATAAGGCATTATCACTGTCTGTATTCTTGTTTTATTTTATATTTATACATTTTCAAGACTATGGGTGGGTTTTTTTTACTGAATACTTATGCACAGAGGGACCTAGTCTCAGGTGGAGCCTCTAGCTGCTACAGTGTGCAAATAATAATGATCCTCAGGAGCTGCTTAAAAGCCCTCCAAAAGCTAGTGTTTGTAGTATCAGGTCCTCAGACTGTGCTTATGCTGTAAGATTAAGTGTAAACTCAAAAGTATTAAGTATATTCACTCTGTGACCTGTGCACTTTCTATCAAGACTGCTGATGGTTGGCCTGGCTGGTTCTGGTTTGAAATTTTCACACTGCGTAAGGTATTTATTTATATTATGCATTCAGGTTATCTATGGGGCATGCTCATCTCCCCATGCAGTGGTACCCAGGCTGCATAAACAAGACTTGTGTCTGTGAGCAAGGCCTTTAGTGTTCTCAAACACTTCCCCTCCAAGGTATGTGCCAGCACCTAAACCACCTGGATGCATGAGAAGTCCACACCTTCGCCTTTTGTCCCTGAAGTGTTCTTGACCTGTGCAACAGGTTTCCTTGGATCTAGAAGCTTGGTCATTAAGCCTTCCCCTAGCATAACTCTCCCTAAAAGCAGGTCTCTATGCCTGCTTTTTGCATTTTCCTGCAAGAGCCTGAAGCTGTTACTTTGCCAAGACCTCACTCCTGCTCTTTTCAGCTGCTGCCCAGGCTGTTGAGACCTGCCTACTTACAGTTTTTCCTTCTATATTGTCCTCCAGTTCCATGCTTAAATACTCTGTCCAGTGACGAGGCCATGGGACTAGATAGCTCCTTTGCAGGTTTTCAGCCTTATAGGGCTGAAAACTATAGCCTTTTAGAACTATAAGGCTGTTTTTTAAGGTTGAGCTTGAATCCACACTGCTTGGACTTTCTTTCAGACTGTAAATGTGTCCAAACAGGGAGTCTGGTTTATTCTTACATTAGGTGGCTGTACGACATAACCTAGTTAGGTGACCGGTCAGATAAGCTGCAGCGAGACTGGTTACAACAATGCAACATTTTTAGTCCCTGAGTAATTTTGCAATGGGTGGAGAAAAAGGCATTTTGTCCTGGTTTGGCTAGGAAAGAATCACAGCCTTGCCATCTAGGCAGGCTCAAGTCAGCCAGGGCAGCTGACCTGAGTTAGTTATAGGGGCAGCCCATACCATAATGTCATAGTTGTTATAAAAGGGGAAGGTTTGCTGAGGTGAGGGAGCTCCTGTGTGGTTCCTGCTGGGGTTCCTCCTGCTCTTCCTCTGGCTTCTCTCAAGAACTGCTCTCCAATCTATTGTGACGACTGGATATTCATTTGGCTGAGTATTACTCTGTGTATCTTTGTTGGCATTGTGGTGTTTCATTAAACCTGTGGCACTTGCATCCATAGGTCTGCTCTGCTTTTTCCCGATTCCCCTCCCTGGCTGGTGAGGCGTCATCAGGTGATAGAGCAGCTGTTATAGTTTAGCCCTGGGTACAGGCTAAACGTAGACACCCTGCTACTTTTCTGTGAAACTGAAGATTTCTTCAGACCCATGAGGATGTGATATAACAGGCAAGAGGTGATTTATTGGGCTAGGTTAGGTTTTAAAGCTACCTATGTCAATGGTGACTACAATTGCAGTAGATAGAGTATATGATTCAATTGACCAGCAGAGCCTTAATCCAAAAGGAGTTTAAAATGGAACAAATTACTTTTAAACTCCTGTTTCTCCCAAAAGATCTTGCTCTGACATAGGAGGAAGAACAGAAATGGCCTGTGACACTGCTTGACTATTATTTCTTTGCTTCCAGTATCCCGGATTTGCTAAAACTTAAAGAAGGCCTAACAAAGGAGCGAAACCAAGTGTTGTCAGATGTCATGAAGTTACGTGAAAGTCTAACTCAAGCCACAGAGCAGCTGCAGGACACAGAAAGGGCAAAAACCAAGGCAGATGAATCCATTATGCAGGTCTGTACAGATCACCAGGTGGTGATTTTAGGCTTTGCCCTGAACCGTTCTCTGGTCTTGCAATTGATCTCCATTGACTAGTGTGCTGCTATCTGTTCTTTCCCATCTCAAATGTTTTCAGGCGTGCTCAGAAAGGAGTCTTTTGTGAATGATTTTTATATTTTTCACTAATTCTACGCTATGTCCTTTGCGAAGTATATGGTCATGTACCAGCTGCTTCCATAGCTTCCCCATACCCTGAATGAGGCCAAGGTTCCTTTGCCTGAATCAGCTCTCACACTGGAGATGTGGAGTTCTGTCTACATTGTGAATCTTTGTGCCTCCAAATAACCACTTAGAACATGACCTGGAATGGAGATCCTAGGTCCCTTGCTGTTGGCAGTGCTTGTCATGTGATGCCATACCACCATTTTAAAGAATTTTTCAAATTCTGACTTAAAAGCTAATTAGGCTGTTTTCTCCCCTACTTCTTATGGGAAGCTTCCAGAACGTCACTTTTCTGATGGTTAGAGACCTCCTACTCTCTTCTTCACACTGATTCCTGCCTACTGTTTTTCAGCTTAAATAACTTCTCACCTTACCAGTGTCTGTAGAAAGCAATCATATTCCATCTCAGCTTTACTTTTTTTTTGTCTTTAAGTCATGTTCTGTTTTTCTAACCACCTGAGTAGACAGTTCTTTACTGATCAATATGTGTAGCTTCCTTTAAATTTGTATAGCAGCTAGAGATACAGAATACTGAGGATTAATAGGATACCCACTGAATGGAGAGAAAGTGGAAAAGGATGGGAGATGGGGTTACAGAACTGATATACCAAATTATAAAAACATAATAATGAGAAATAAAAGAATTTAAAGCAGAATATAAATAGGGACTGGAGCAAGACAACAGAGAGAAAGGAAAAGTAGAAAAGAACACTTAAAGAACAGAGGAGAAATTAAAGCAGTATTTATCTTACAGTTTTTTATTAATCACAAATAGCAAAGTGATGATCAGCTTAGGTTTCATGCACAGAACTGATTTCTAAAGCAGATGGATGCGAATGTATTACAAGAGAATATAAATCTTTGCTTTTCTGACAGCGTTGTGGGCATGGGAGAAAAGAGGGAGGATTAAAACTCCCGTCAAAACTTAATGACTCTTGTCAGCCTTCATCTTCTGATACTCAGGTCATCAGCCCTTAAATTTATGGGATTGTTACAGCATTTGTAACCACCTCCCATTCTCCCAGTATGAAATTGTTCTCCACTTTAGACTGCTTAAATGACAATGTCTTTTTGAAGATCCTGTTGAAGACCCTGTCAGTTCTAGCAACTTTTCATCTATGGGCTCAGAGGGAGAGGAATCTTTAAGTGAAGAATGTCTTTCAATTGCTGGTCCCTGGCTGAACTGAATATTTCCATGTGGATCAGCCCCCTGTGTCTTCTCTCTGCTGATTCTGCTCCATCACATTTTTGGAGGGGGAGAGAGCAGAAGTCACAAGACAGTCTATTAAATATGAGAGAAAACTCTTATTTCAAAGTTCCCGCAGAGGAACTTTGAGAGGAGAAAGATTGAGAGCAGTTGTGAAAATGAACACTGGTCTGACATCTCTCTCATTCCTTTAATATCAATGTAGTAAGTGTTTCTGCTGGTGAGACAGAAAAATCAAAATAAAAATCCTTGCGATACAACATCAAGCCCAAATTAGTTTTAACACTGCATTCAGAAAGTACCACTTCACAAGTAACTTACAACTGAAAATACATTTGTGCCACTGCATCTCTGGAGGAATGCTTTTATGTCTGAACTGTATCAGACCCTTCTGTGTGGGTGAACTGACTGGTGCTCAACAAATTGTTGTCATCAGTAAATAGGTTCCCTCATGTAGGACTTTTTGTTCAACCACTAGAGAACGTATTTACCTCTGAGAAGTTCTGGCGTATTCCATGTAGTAGTGGGTACAGTAGTATAGAAGCCAGTTTTCAAAATCAAGCATAGTAGAAGGAGAGGTGAGAGGCCTTGTTCTCATGAATAGAAGGCATCAGAACTTAACTTTTGTCTTCTCTATTATAGCTTCAGCAAGAAATCCAGCTGCGTAAGAATGAAGTATCACGAGAGGCTCGAAAGAAGGAAAAAGTGGAGAAGGAGCTGAAAAATATTCTAGCTGAACTGGCTAACAAGAAAGCTGAGATTAAGAATTTAGAGCAACATATACAGAGGAACAAAGAGGAACAAATGAAAGTGGAACAGCATCTAAAAGAACAGAAGGTAGGGTACATGGCATGCTGTGTTCATCATGTCTAAGACTAGGGTCAGATGTCAAAATAAGAAGAAAAGGATTTTCCTGAAGGGAGAGAGATTATTTTAAGTCAACAAATTTTAATAAATATTTATTTTTATATAAATGTTACTTTACTAATAAATAAATATGTAAAGCTTCCTGACAGATTTCAGATAGATTTCCTCACAGAAATCAGGAGTGGATCGCAATGATAATGTTAGAAATCATCTTGAAAAGATCACAGCAAATAAGAAAGTCTGTGAAGAGCATGGATGATCTAATGATAGTAACAGGAGACTGCCAGGTTGGACTTCTGACGTGTATTGATAATTTTGCTACTGATTGCCTGCGGTGGCATTGGTAAAGTCATTTTACCTCCAACCCCTTCTTTCTTCTCTGTCACAATAATTTTTATCTACCTCCCAAGCTTGTGGAAGAGTTTCTCTGTAAGGGCAGAGAACTGTCTTCGTAAACCTTTTTGATTTATTTTCCCCATTCTGTTTCTAAAAACTTTATCTGGAAATATCCTAACATAGTGTTCTGCAAGTGTTTGAATTTCAGGTTTTCAGTCCATTTCCCCTGACTTTGAGAAACTCTCAGAGAAAGCAATTTCAGTAAATGGCAGGGGAGATCTCATCGCTGTAAAACAGTCCTACCTCAAGGAAAACTGCTTTGGGAATTGTGTGTATCTTGAAAATTTATGAGTTTTATGGCTATTTCTTCCCTTCAGGTCCCTGAATTTGTGTAGGTAGTGGTCTGCGACAATTTTTTGTCAACATAGTCTTAATAAAATACTTCACAGAAAGATACACTGGTATCACTGATTTGATGCAGCTTTTGAAAGCAGCTCCATGATCTGCCAGGAAAATCACATTGTTTTTAAATAGGGTATCTACATTTCCTGGTTCTGTTACATTCTTCCTTCTCCTTTCTATAGTCCCTTTCAAACTTTAGGGGCATTCAATTGTCCGAACTACTGTGGAAACCAACAGTCTACATAAAGTGCTGTGCCTAGGCTAATTACTTGGACCACTCTATTGTCTTTGCTGCCTGTGCTGTCTTGAAGGTGTCTGTGGAGACCCTGCATTATCTTTTGCAAAAAGTCTGTCCAAAACATAGGCTATCCAACTGTGCAAGAGTCAGTGTAGAGATCTGCAAGAAAAGGTGACTCAGCTATTGCAGTGTCATTGGGTTATTGTTTCTCAGTTGAATTTTTGTTGGCTGTGATGCCTGCTCTTAGTCCACTGAAATTTCTAATAAAATATCCTTGCTTGTGTGACAGTGAAGATGATTTGATACAGCTACTATAGGCTTCATCCCACCCATGTTCAAGTCTCCAAAAGGAATGGCCTGAAATACAGTGTTATCCTGACATTTGCAACACAATAAACAGTATTCCTTGTTTTTTACATTGTCTTTGCTTCTGCATGCATTCATAACAGCAAGATTCCACTCCTCTTCCTTTAATGTTTAAGGGCATAGTACACACTGACTTCATCAGTTTATCACACATTAATGCTGGAAGTGAAAAATGTGATGGTTGTTCTTTCTTCACTTATGGAGAAATATCTGTTAGGGGAAGTCCCATCAAGCAGAAGACTGGCAGCTCCAGTATTGAAGGGTATGTTCTTCATAGAAACTGTGAAACTGCTGTTCCAGGCTTTTGATGGAATACCAATCAGAGAAGAAAATGGTTCTGTCATGGTCTCAGCAAACAGTGTACCCAGAGAAATGTTATCAGCATATTAATGTAGGATTTGCTTGCTAGGAAACAGAGCTCCCCTGCCCTCTGCTGATTGAAGTAATTTGAATCTTATACTCATTTTCAGTAATTATATGTAGCAAGTTATGTTACTGAAGCTTGCCACATGCATAACAAGAAGTGAAATATTTATCTACCACCTGCAAGAGAGACCTGCTAAGCTCCCAGAAAAAAAGAATTACACTGACTGTGTCATTCATTAGAAATTATCATTTCCTCTGGTCAATATGAACATGTATCATATTTCATATCAGTAATTTCATCAGCAATGAAGAATATTTTTTAAGCTGACAACCATACGTAGCAGCTTTTATCTCCTGGGGAGATGGAAGGTTCTGTCTTCATGTGTGTGTAGATATTGTAATGAGATTAAAAAGAGTTAATAGGGTTGTTCTTTAACAGATCTTGAATGAAAGAGCTGGCAAGGAACTTGAGCAACTTCAGATGAGAAATAATAAGCTCATGCAAGAGAGTGAGCAGCACAGTGTGATGATTAAAGAGATGATGCAGAACATCCAGCAGAAGACAGAAGAACTGAAAGTAAGTACCAGAAGGTGCATGCATCCTAACAACCATAGCACTCTGATGGCAGTTTTACTGCCTGGGTCAGAGGTGACCTTGGTTCTTCTACAGATAGTTCCCTATGAGTAGTTTTGGAGGAAACCTGAGGGGGTTTTAGGAACAGATCTGGTTTCCAACCCTGTCACCTGGCAGTGTAGCACCGGTCCTGCTGGAGGAGCTGTGTTTCATAAAACACATAAACCAAAATGCTCAACACATTATGTTCATAAAGGATGCACGGTACTTTTGACAAGCCTAAGGTCTTTTTTTGATTGTGAGATCTTCAGATAAGAGCAACAACTTATTTTCTTGCAGTGATTAACATAATCTGAATGTTGCCAAAACCCACTGAAAAATGTTAATAAATCATAACAACAGTGTCCTGGATAGCTTCC